ATGACTAATTATACACATTACAACCAACAATTTGCAAACTAAGAGTATAAACAAGTCTCAATTAACTCAAAAATGGGTCTTAAACCTTCATTTTCATCACATACCTTCTCCTTTTGATTCTTACTTGTTAAAACCCTTAAAATGGACTAAGATAACATAAAAAAACTCAACCTACAATTCTACCTAGTTTCCACTTCTCAAATCAACGTCATATTTTTGGCTAACTAAGATCCTAAACAAGTTTAAAACGACCATAAAAACATATTTCAAACATCAGTTATAACTCCAAAATTGTTTCTCTAAAAATTTACATACCAAAATCTCAAATTAGACTAAAAATAGCTCCTGGAACAATTACTTTTTACCAACTTATATCCTACATCAATTTTGCACGTAATTATACTCCAATACAGTAGCATCAAATGTTCAAACCAATACCACTTCTCAGACACACACAATATACATCAATATATAAGCATCACTCACAATCATCTCAACTATAGCATATTCAACAAAGATGATTTCTTATAACATCTCAAACACAAATTCATACATCTTAAAACAAAATTGAATGAAACATTAGCTCCCCTTACATGATGAAAAGCTTAAACTGCTATAATAGCCCCAAAACCCCTACCTCAACTCAAATCGTTTTAACGGTACCTATAGACCACAAAAATATGATCATAATAGGTTCTTAAGATCATTGATTGACAAGAAATTGGAAAAGGAGGTTGAATGACACATGCATCATACCTACATGTATGGCTCAAACATAAAATCAAAGAAAAAAAATTAGTAGAAACTAACTTATTCTATAGAAAAAACTGATCATATAAGGAGTTAGAAATTAAGGAATATAAAGTCTAGAAGAAAGATTTTAAAGAAATTATACATATTTTTTATAATAAGATATGTTCCTGATCTTATAATAAATTAATTATTAATATATAAGATTATCATCAAAATTTTGAAGAGAGTTTTTAATATTGTAAAACCAGTAAATATAAGCCTAAATGATAATAACATAGAAATCTTCAAATATAATATTCTGATTATAAAAATAAAAATATTTTTATTTTGAAAAAAAGTTTTTATTAATAATTGAACAAAATATTGATGAAAATGTCTTACTATACTAAACTAAAAGTAAAAAATCTCTTAAAAATGACTTAGTAGAACTTATAAGATGTACATGTTCTTTTGATTTCAAAAGACATTATTCTTAAAATATTTTTTATTAATATATTATGTTATTTGATTTTCTCAATAACAAGGAAATATGATTATGTATATTTTTTTCATTTTTATTTTTTTAACTTTTTCAATTCATTCATCAACTCGTTATTTTAAAAGTGAGTTAACCAGTAAAAAAAATAAAATTAAATCAGCTCACTCAAACAAAATGAAAAGTACTTTAAATTTTTAATGAAACGATTTTCTAATAAAAATTAAATAAAAAATATACTAATTTAAGTTGAAGTTAAAACTTAATTAAATAAAATAAATAAAATAAATTTTTGTAGGATACTAGGCAAATCTCACCAGCAGCATCTTAAGCCCAGCCCAGATCGTTAAATCCTCACTCACTCAAATATCACAACCTAACCGCCGCAAGCACCTCCTCCACAAGCAAAACTTCCTCCGACCAGACATACCCAAGCCACCATCCCATTCAAGGTGCATTATTTTCTCCCCAAAAGCGCACACTGACCTGAATTCAGAATGAAGCTCGACGTGGATGTGTTGAGATATCTCTACAAAGATGATTTTAGGGTTCTCACCGCCGTTGAATTGGGCATGCGGAATGTGCGTTTTTCTCTCTTCCTATCCTACGCCATTTTTTTTTATAATTTCAATTTAAATATCATATGTTTTGAACTTTTGAGTTCAAATTAACGAAATTACCCCCCGGCTGCAGCATGAAATCGTACCCACGGAACTCATCGATCGAATTGCGCGTCTCAAGTACCTCTCAATATTCTTCCGCTCTCAGTCGCTTTACTATGTTTTTTTCTTCCACTCTTGTCACTAATTTTTATGTTAATGTTTGTAGGCATGGAGGCACGTACAAAGTTTTGAAGAATTTGCTCAAGCACAAGTTGCTGCATCATGACTCTTCTAAATGTTGGTACCTTCTAGTCTGTTTATTATTATTCGTATTAACAAAGAATACTTATGATCATATTTTCTTTTGAATGACCTTCTAATCTGTGTGAGCTTAATTTGATTTTAGATGATGGATTCCGCCTTACCTATCTTGGTTATGATTTTCTTGCCATTAAAACTATGGTGAACAAAGGAGTGTTTGTTGCTGTTGGTCGCCAAATCGGTGTTGGAAAGGAATCTGGTATTGTATTTAATGCTCTTCTAATATTGTGGTCTTCATTCAATCATATTTCATAAGTTTTTTTTTTCCTAATTACGTTGGCATTTGTGCCCTGCTAGATATATTTGAGGTTGCCCGTGAAGATGGAACTGTTCTAGCCATGAAGTTGCATAGACTTGGTAGAGTCTCTTTTAGAGCTGTCAAATCTAAGCGTGACTACTTGAGACATCGAAGTAGTTATAATTGGCTCTATTTGTCTCGCCTTGCTGCCCTTAAAGAATTTGCTTTCATGAAGGTTTTACCTTCCCCCCCTTTCGGCTATACATTTGCTGTATATTTGAATTATTTTATTGTTTTTTGATTCTCTAGTCACTGACACACGTGGTCTGCATGAGCAGGCTCTGGAAACCCATGGCTTTCCTGTTCCAAATGCTGTAGAGCACAATAGACATTGTGTAGTCATGTCACTTGTCCAAGGTTATTCTCTGTAGGTATCCTTCATTACTTGTGCTATTATTAATTTTTTTTCTTGTGTTTCTTTTTCTTAAGCTGGTTTTATTGTTTCTCGTCTTTCTTTCACCTTTTTTTGCTGATTTTGGTAAACAATTGCTTGATTTGTCTATTTGGTTTTTCAAATGCAGTGTTCAGGTGAAGCAGTTGCAAAATCCAGAGACAGTTTTTGAGACAATCATTGGTTTAGTTGTTCGGTTGGCTGAGCGTGGCCTTATCCATTGTGATTTCAATGAATTCAATATCATGGTATGCTTTGACTGGTTTGCATAATGATCAAAGAGGATTCTCAATTTTTGTTGGTTTTCTAATCTAATTTACACTTTGAATTCCATTCACTGTAGATTGACGATGACGAAAAAATTACCATGATTGATTTTCCTCAAATGGTATCCGTGTCACATCGTAATGCACAGATGTAAGGGTCTCCTTTTGTGATAGTTTTGGTCATGATTTTCTTTTGACTTGTTATCACACTTCTTAGCCACCCTGTCATTTTTCCATGTTTTCTTTTGTTATTTCTTATGTAGTTTACAAAATTTGCAGGTCATTTCGCATTCTGATCAAACTTATTAAGAATTTAAAGGGCTAATATATAGTGTTCAAGAAACTATTATTCTTCCATAGTTCAACCTGCTTCGTCCCTGAAAAAGAATCTTTTTATAATTTAGTCATGTGTCTTTAAATTTGAGGTATAAATTCAACATGTTAAGCCTTATAATACGATTTTTAGATTTATTATGACATCTCTTTTCAATTTATGAAGTATAATATGCTAATAGAACTTTTCTCATTTTTTTTAGGATACCCTTATATAAGTTCTGTTATCATACGAAAGTAGTATGTGAAAATAAGTAGTATATTAGTTTCATACTTCTTAAGTTTTAAAATCAATATTCATAGTAAAAATAAGATTTTGAAAATTTGCAAATAGTAAAAAGGTGCTGAAGTTATATGTCCAAGTGTGTCATATTAGTGGAAAAGCAGAGTATATTTTATTTCTAGTTTAACCATATATTATTTATCCTTATTTCAGGTACTTTGACCGTGATGTTGAATGCATCTTTAAATTTTTCAGGAAAAGGTAGGTTGTTATTTTAAATCATGTATTTGTCAACTTTAGGGATGCTTTTGCATATCGCTTTTAATATTTTGTTGTCTTTATTATTCAAATGATGTTAGGGAAAAATATAAATGATATTCTCACATAACTTGCCCGAACTGCAGAGTTAATTTCAGTAAAGTAGCAAGTAATTAGGTATGTCTGTTATTACAAGTTAGCATACCTTGTTAGAAAGTGCATTTAGTGAAAAATATAACGGACATGGTCAAAGGACCTGGACTCACGATTCTTACACTATGTTTGGAAGGGATGAAAGTGGGAGAAAATAAATAGAGAGGAAAACAACACACAAGTATCCTTTTTCTCTGTTTGTTTGGAGAGAAAGTGAAAGAAAAATGAGAAGAGTTGACTGCTACGAATAACAATTTAGACTTTACTTTCCTTTTACTTCCTTCACTACCAAACACCAGGCTAGTTTCTATCCTTTTAAGTCTGTCTTCCACTCTCTTGTGCTTTCATTAAATAAGGAGTTTCCTTAAGGTCGTACATGTTGGGAAATTTTTTGAATTTATGCTCTTGAATCTTTTCCGTCTGACTTGCATTTATATATAACCTATATGCAATCTGTATCTTTTTACTATAAACTATCCTTTTATGCAGATGTATTTATGTGATTCTTTTTTCCTGTATTTTTTAGTATAATTTTAATATTCTTCATTTTCCATTTGGTTTTTGGTATCTTATCCCTATCTCATTTTCATCTCCTGTTTTTACTGCATGGCTGATAGATCTTTGGTTTCTGAACTTGTTGAAAGGTTTTTGGATATAGTATTTGGCTGGTAAAATAATCATCTTCATATCATTCCGTCTTGTCTGTTTCAGGTTCAATCTTTCTTTTGAAGAAAGCTTAGATGATATGGACGGTTCTGATGAGGGAAGAGATGGAGCTGGAAAACCCTGTTTTTCTGCGATAGAAAGAAGTTCTGGTTTTCTAGATAGGGAGCTTGCTGCCAGTGGCTTTACTAGAAAGGATGAAGAAGATATTCAAAGGGTACAGTGTTTTTCTTGTTCTTTGAGACGGGGAAGAAAATATAGGGATCATTTTTCAAAAGGCACCATAACTTTGCTTCTATATTTTCCACCTCTTTTGGCTTACTGCTGACACCCAGCATGGACCACCATTTTGCCTCTGGTGAAGCATAAAATTGTCTGCTTTTAGTTATTTTGCGTAGATTGGTAAGCTTTCATTTTTGTATTTGGTTCCGCCTCAAACGTATTCAAATCTCTATGTGCAGTTCATTGAAGGAAAGGCAGAGAGTGATACGAATTCAGAGGGTGAAGAGGTTGACTTAGAAGACCTGAATGAAGCAGGCACTATTGATGGTAATTCTTCTGACTTGTTGGAACAGGTAATGCCATAAAACAGATACAAACCATGTAAAAATGGGCTGTTATTTATTTTATTTCAATAAAATCACATATAAAAGATGTACATGTAAAGAGAGGTAAAACAGTAGTTAGCACAAGCTGACATAAAACAAATAGGCTTACCTGCAGGGGAGATTAACAGTGGGAATCTGAGCTATGAATCGGGGAGTTGAGAAAGTTGTATCCCAATAAAGAAGTGACTTCATAACAAAAGCACTACAAGGAACAACATAGCAAATCTAAGAACTGAGATGTGCTCTTGATAATGAGCATTTTGTTCAAAACATAAACTTTAATATAGCATAGGCAGCTGATAACTCATTATAATTAAAACTATAGCATAGATAGCGAGTATGTATGATTTATGCTGAAGGAAGATTATGGGTATTTGTTTAGCAGATCCATGCTGAAAAACTTAGGAACAATGCTAAACATTCTGTACTGGGGATGGTTGAACTTGAAAATTTTCATTGTTCTGAAATTATCATTAAATATAGTATATAAGTGAACTGTGATATCTAAATTCGAATATCCAGTATTTGGTCTACTTATAGTTTGTCAATTGACTAGCGGGCTTATTTACGCTGCCATATTTTTTTCTGCTTATTTCATTAGTTGTGTAAGTCTAATTCTGCAATGATGGTTGAAGGATTGTTATTTTGTTTTAATCAGAATGAGGGATATGAAAGTCAGTGGATAGAGAAGACTTGTGAAGCACGTGAAAGCAGTGGATCTGAAAAGAAAGATGCAAATGACAATGTGAGCAATGTTTTATTTTATCGGGTGGTTATCTCAATGCTATGTTTGTACTGTTTCCTTTTGCTCTTCATAATATTCAATTCAAAGAATTTATAGTCTTAAACGCTGATCCATGATGATTTTTTTGGGAAATAGCTTGTATATGTCTGGCTTGTTAACAAGAAATGTTATGCATATCCTCTTCTAGAGTAGAGTTATAGTGCATTTCTTCTCTAACCTTGATGTCGTATTTTCTCAACCATAGGCTCATTTTGTTAACGTAAATTTGCTAGTGACGTAGTGTAGAACATTATTTCCTTGTATTGCTTCCTTTTTTTATATTATTCAAGTTTATATATATAGCATGTTATTTGGCCATTGCATGAAAGCCTCAATAGTGGTAATTTTGATTCACAGGAGGAAAACAATGAAGAAGTCACGGAAAATGAAGCTGAACTCGTTAAGAGCTTGAATAAGCAAAGACGACGTGCTGTGGCAGCAGTTCGTAAGGGACATAAGACTATTGGAGGCAGAAATTCCTACAAAGACAAAGGTGGTAGGTCATCTCACAATTCTAAAATCCAGAAACAGTTGAGCAGCTGGTGAAATATGTAGGAACCAAAACACCTGTGATGTTCAATGGTGCCATTCATGAGACACCTTAAAGTTTTGGTAGGATATTGTAGACGACATTTGTCTGGTCAAACTTTCATAGGTAAAGTTCAGAAATATAGGTTATGATCGACCCATCCTCTGTGAAATACTGTTATTTGGAATGAAAATTTTGCCATTCTCTATCAGAAACTTGTCACATTAGAATATTTTTTGTGGACTTAATTATTCTCTGCTACTGCCTAGAGTTTCATGTCTATACTATTAATCATTCTAGTCTTTTCTTTTTCGGCAGTTTTTTTAAGTTGTTCTATTGTTACTTGGGAATTGATTCTAAATTTATTTCTATATTAAAAGTTGCGTGAAAAAAAAAATGTATGATTAACAAGAGAAAGGAAATTATCGGTGTGTTTGAAAGAAGACAATGTAATACTTAAATGTTATTGTCTCTCAAATCATACTTTATGTAATCGTTTTTTTATTAATATTAAAGTATTTTTTTTAATAAAAAATGGAAAAATTAGTTCTGGGCCAATGTCCAAACTATCCCCTGATATACCATGCAAGTATCAATCATCACTTCAGAAATGGTGATTTCCATATTTTCCAACTCAGTTCTCCTTGAGAATTTTTTTCCCAACCTGTTTCATAAAAATTTTCCATGCAGCAGATTTTTATTTAATTAAAAGAACATATTACCATGAAAATGTTAGAATTATGTTCCAAAATATTCAATTCCCAGATCTTAAAATTATAAAACTATAAAATTATAAAATTGTAAAATTAAAAATTATAAAATAATAAAAATATAAAATTATGCAATTACAAAATCATAAAGTTATAAAATGATAAAAATATTAAATTATAAAATCATAAAATTATAAGTATCTTACAAATTATTTAACAGTAATAACTCTAAACATTTATTATATAAGTTTGGTTTTGCAAAAATAGTTGGTTATTTACATTAAGATTTAAATTTATTGTGAAATATTTTATTGTTGCTAACTTACACTAGTTTATTTTTATGGTTGTTTTATAAATATAACACTGGTTAAATGAGTGAAGATGACCTACACTTTTTGTAGGTATTATTTGAACCTGTGTATAAGACACGGACTTATCATTAATTCTATAATCTATTTAAATGTGGTGAGTGCAAGACGCAATATTTAGAAACTTTAAGCTGCACTTAATTGATTATAATTACAAGATAAAATATATAGTTCTTTTCTAAAAATTTGATTGACTGAATTGTGAGATTTTTTATTTTTTTAAGAGAATTCAACTGAAACCTAGAAGCTGTTGTAAATTGACAGTGTAAAATATTGAAAGTGATTACATTGTAAAAATCTATAAATTTTAATTATAATGAAGTTTGGATAAAAGAATTAATTTTGACTATTTCAATTCAGTGGGTTCAAACATGTACTTCCTAATTTTTTAAACAGGAAAGTGTCTAGTCTAATGTAATAGTTTATTTGAAATAATTGCATTGTTGGTTCATGTGAAAAAAATTCATTAAAGTCAAAGTTGTAAATTTTAGTTTTATTTTTCAACATAAAAATTGCATGTTATTACCTTTGTATGCACGAGATGTTGCATGCTTGTTTTAAAAATGATTTACTCGATTTTTTTTTTCCAACTTACAAAATACTCATTCTTTGTATGTTCTTTTATAACCAAATAAGCTATCAATAGAAAATTAGTGTGTATTTACAACACAGTTTTTCTAAACAATGATAACTAATTTTTAACAAAAAAATATCAAATTAAGATATTTAAAATTTAAATATTTTATAAAATATTAATAAAGTAGTTGTATCAAATTATAATGCAGTTATGTAACTATAAAAGACTTTGACTATTTGTTATGTTCAACAAAAAGATCATAAAAGATGTGTTTAACAAAAAGATGACACTAATTATAAGATAAGTGACACCATAAATAGATATGTGTAGGTGAAATTTATGTTCTTGATGGGTATTTTGTTGTTACTACCGGTAATGTGTTTTAACCTTAAGTTCTGTTAGTAAAAGAAAAAAAGATATAAAGATTGAAAATATCATAGTAGAAGAAATATTCAGAGTAAGTGTATCAAATACAAAATCGAAGAAACAATGACGGACACACTACCTGCATGTTACAACGTATTTATAGTTAATCGTAATCAATTTTGGAAAACTGATAAAGTCTTGCAAACAGAGCTTCCTATTCTAGCCATTCAAATTGCTTTTGTTGCTGTGTTATCTCGTCTCTTTTCCATAATTTACAAACCTCTACATCAAACTCGTCTCATTTCACAAATATCTGTAAATAAATAAAAAGTTATTTTGTTTATTAAAATTATCTCAAAATTTCTTATAAGTGACATTCTAATAATCTAATGTGTCAACATTCTAAATTATAATTATGTAGGTTGGTTTCCTACTAACACCGCCATTACTTGGAAGATTCACACCCATTTTTGAGTTCATTTTTCCGGTAAACGGGATTGTCAATGTTGAGGTTCTTTCCCATATTGGTCTCATTTATTATGCATTCCTTAGTGGATTGGAGATGAACTTAAATACCATTTTACACATGAAAAAGAAACCTGCAAGCATCACTATTGTTGGGATCATCTTTCCCATGCTTGTTGCACCATGCTTATATGCTTTGTTTCGAAAAGTTTATGGGCATATTATGATGTTTCCCCTTAAGGAAAGTACAAATAATACTTATATACTTTGGACTTTAATTCTCACTGTTACAAGTTTTCCTGTGGTAGCACACACACTTTCTGAGCTTAAGCTCCTTTATACTGGTCTTGGTAAAGCGGCTTTAACAGCAGCCATGATTGGTGACACCTATGGTTGGATTCTTTTCACTTTATTTGTTCCATTTTCAACTAATGGTAAAGGAGCTATCTACACTGTGCCATGCACGATAATCTTCATTGTTGTGTGCATCTTTGTGGTACGTCCAATCATTCAATGGTTTATTGATCGTAAGGCAGACAAAGATGAATGGAATGATAATCAATTGCTTTTTATAATCATGGGGGTTTTAGCTTGCTCATGTATTTCAGATTTTCTTGGTGCACATGCCATTGTTGGAGCTTTTGTTTTTGGATTAATTTTACCTCATGGAAGATTTGCTGAATTGGTCATGTCAATTTCAGATGATTTTGTTGGAGGATTTTTAGTTCCCCTCTTCTTTACTGGAACTGGAATGAGACTTATGTTGGCCTCAATTTTCTCCCAACAAAGTTGGCCCTTTGTAGTTGTGATTATACTCTTATTGTGTGCTCTAAAGATTTTAAGCACTTTAATTGTCACCTTGTTCTTCGGTATGCGTATTCGAGATGGTTTAACCTTGGGCTTAATTTTGAATAATAAAGGTGCCATGGCATTAATAATGCTGAACATTGCTTGGGATAGAATGGTATTGATCTATTTAAAATGTTGTAATAAATTACTTTAGTTTCTTAGATATACAATTGCATTCTAATATGTAAGTTCTTGTGATGAGTTATTGCAGATATTTTCAGTACCTACTTATGCCGTTATAACTTCTGCTGTTCTTCTGATGACCATAGTTGTGTCTCCCGTCATCAATGTTGTCTACAAACCAAGACAAAGATTTGAACAAAACAAGCTAAAGACCATACAAAAACTAAGAGTTGATGCAGAACTTCGAATTATATCATGTGTTCACAATACTCGCCAAGCTACAAGCATGATTAGCATAGTTGAGTGTTTTAATGCCATGAGAGTTTCCCCTATCCATGTTTTTGCCTTGTACCTTGTTGAACTTACTGGACGAACTGCTGCCCTAGTTGCTGCACATATAGGGAAGCCTAACAGCCAACCTGGAGAACAAAACCTAACTAGGTCACAAGAAGAGTTAGAAAGCATTCACAATGCATTTGATGCCCTTGGAGAGGCATATGACGCTATTAGAGTTGAGACCTTAAATGTGGTGTCAGCATATACAACTATTCATGAGGACATATACCACTCAGCAGATGAGAAACGCACAAGCTTAATTCTTCTTCCATTTCATAAACAATTAACTTTAGAAGGTACTCTAGAAGTAACAAGTGTTGTATACAAAGATATAAACCAAAATGTAATGCAAGGTGCTCCATGCTCTGTGGGAATATTTGTTGATCGTGATTTTGGGTTAGTTCCTAAAAGGAACCTTCATGTTCGTGTGGTCTTTGTTGGGGGCCCTGATGATCGTGAAGCTCTGGCCATTGCATGGAGGATGGCAGGATGTTCAGGAACACAACTCTCAGTGGTTCGAATTCTTCTATTGGGTGAAGCGGCAGAAGCAGATGCATCGGTTCATGATGAAGCGCAAGGGATATTATCTGCAGTAATAGATACAGAGAGGCAAAAAGAGTTAGATGATGAGTATATAAGCACATTCAGACTTACCGGGGTTCACAGTAACGATTTAATATCCTACTCAGAGATTGATGTTCGTAGTGGTGAAGATATTCCTGCAATCCTAAATGAGATAGAAAAATTTGGTTGTGATCTTTACATAGTTGGACAAGGAAATTGTAGGAACTCTAAGGTCTTCTCAAATTTGCTGGAGTGGTGTGAGTGCTTAGAACTTGGAGTTATAGGAGACATTTTAGTGTCAAACAATTTTGGTTCACGCTCGTCTGTGCTTGTTGTTCAACAATACGGATATGGAGGAATGGATTTTAGAAATAATCTTAACCAGAAAGACACGAACAATAACAAGTTTGAGTCTGTTGTTTGAAGACATAATAAGTATGGAGATTTACAATGAAACATAATGGATTTATGCAAAAATGTTTGGTGAGGTTGATTGATTTATATTAATTTATAGTATATAAACTAATATAAATTTGATCGATTTAGTAGAGTTAGTTAAATTTAAAATTCACTTATTAGTAAATGAGATTATTTGTTAAATATCATATAATCTCATCCTTAGTTTTATTTTGATGTGGTATCATTTTATATTTATCGGTTAAGCTAATAAACAAACAAAATTTATTTTTGCTTATATTTATTTGCAATTTTTTTTTTTCAAATCTGGTTTTTCTTTCCAATCTTTTTCATTATACATTAATATTCATTTTTAATTTTTATCTTTTTGACAAAGTGTTTTTTTTTTCATTCTTATTCAACTTAGTTTGTATCTTAATTTAGTTTCATTTTTATCATTTTCTTGTTTTCTTTTATATTTTTATATACTCTTTTTACTTAATCACATTAATAGAAAGAAAAATAATAATGATGAACTACCGTGACAACATTTTTTTATTCGATCATGACATACCTAAATTCAAATTAAATTGAATTATAAAAAAAACGACTTAATCAATAGTTGAAAATGATAGAAAATAATTTTGTCGATTTTTTTTCTTCTAATAAAGTACTTGATATTTTCTTTTAAATTAATGTAATTCGAAATTTTAGTATCTTTTAAGTAAGTTTGTACTATTTAATTCTTTTTGTTAAGTGAATTTTTTCTTTGACTAATGGTGTAACACTTAATTGAATAAGTTTTAGTGATTATATGAAAATGTTATTATGATTAAAGTAAAAATATTAATGATTTTTATTATTTCCACCGAAACATGTTGGATTATAAAAATAGTCTCTGCAGTCCGATAAGTTTTTAATAAAACAATAAAAATTATTTATTTTTTATATTAATCACAATATCATTTTTTATATTATTCATCTCACGTTTTATTATAATTATAAGTAAAGTGTGAGGACAAACAAAACACTCACGTCACTAAGATAATGAAAAATTAAACAACAAACAATCAATTAAAAATATAAAACTTTTGAATACTAACTAAAAAAATAACAAAAACTTAATTAAAATACCTTAATTTATCACTTACTTAAAAACTAAATAAAATTAAACATTATTAATATAAATAAGTTTTAACGAGATAAAACAGAGTGAAATAAATGCGATAGAAGTATAAATATTTTTTATTGCATATATTTTTTCTGAAAAATTATTTCAACCAAAACTTAATTTTATTGTATCAATTTTAGAAAATAATACAACAAAAGAGTTATTTTTATTTTATACTCTGAATCCCAATTTTTACTATTTTTTTCTAAAAACTTAACACGATATCCATTTTTTTACATTCCTTTTTAACATACTGTTTCTGTTTTGTTTTCACAACAACAATAAAATATCTAAAATTTTAAAATAATTTATTTTTCCACAAATACATTATTTTAGAAGAAAAAGACAATAGTGGATTTGATAAATATATTAGAAAGAAAACTTTAATTGTTTTCGAACTTTTAAAAACAGCTAAAACTTTTTAAAACTGTGGTAGTAGTAATAGAAACTTGTTTACGTGAGTAATATTTTTCACCAAAAGAAATACAATAAAAGCGAAAGGTAGGGGTTCAAATAATAAATAGGGAGTGGGAATATGAATTTCCCTTTCGCTTCTGGGTCATGGGGCAATGGCCCAACCCATTGTACGTTTCCCTTTCTCAAAAACTCTAATGCTTTTGATTTGATTTTGTTTTAACGTAACCTCGTTCTTCTTCTTGTTTCCTCAGAAGTTCGGTTTCTTCAAAGCGCAAGTTATTTGGGCTAAACGATTGAAGACTGTTAGCCATTAACGAATCGTTGTGAGTGTTATTTATTGTTAATGTTTGTTTGTCACATACAAATTTTCACTACGCTGTGGTATGACTAATTTTGTTTAGGAAATTAAAGGGAATAGGAAGGAAGCTTAACCTTGAACTGCAATGTTACTTAAGAAAATTTGTTCTGTTATACAATCTTTTAAGCATTTTTGTTTGAAGAGATTCGGTCTAGTGGAATGGAGTTGAATGATTTTCCCTAAATTAATTTGGTAGCAGTTTGGGAATTTAGCCGCTAAATTTGGTTTTAGTTGATATTGGTAGTGATCTGAACTTTCATTGACGGCGCTTGTTGAAAATCTATTTAGTTCAGTTTTTCTATCGGTGTAAATTTTCCGTTTGGAGTGTGCATTGTATGAGACTGGAAAAACTGATTGTTCTACCAAGCCAGAGATGTCACTTTTGGTTCTGTAAGCTGTCATATGGTGGGAGGAGAAGATGATGGATTTGACTGGTTGGAGATTTTATATTTATTCTTGATGCTGGTCAAGTGGTCATTATACTATGGAGAGTACAAGGAAGATTTCTTTGATTAGAAAAGTGGAAATTCAAGACTTGAGAAATAGAGTCTTGCACAGGAGCGAGAAGCATGGCAGATATAAGGAAAATGTGTTAGGTGGAAGGGTGATTGTCTCAGGCCAAAAGTTGTGACATTTTTGGGGGCCAAACTTGAATACATTTTTTACAGGGACCAAAATATAAAAACCATGATATTTTTGGGTAGAAATACATATTAAAACCTAGTATACTTGGATTAACCTGAACATTAAATATGAGTGAGCTTTAGTTTTAGTTGCTAGTTCTGTATAATCATAACCGTGTGAAATGTTATTCAATGCAGTAAGAATGTGGTTTTTTCATGGTTAACTGTTGCAGGAATGATTTTGATTTACAATGTATCGATAAATCTTAATCGAAATTTTTGGGTTAATTTTAATTAAATTATTTCTTAAATATGAAATGTTATAAAACGACTAGAGTCATCTATGTTTTCTTTATTTGTTCTACGGTTTTGATAAAAGAGAATCCCTAATAAAATCTGTTTAGTAATTAACGCTTTCTATCCCTGCTCATGTAGAAATTGCTTGTGAATAACTGTAATATGAACAGCTGAACTTGGATTGAATAGGAATTTATTGAAATAATGATTTGTTAAAGAAACAATTCGTTAAAATATTTTATGATTATTAAGTAGTGATGATATTATATGGAATAATGGAACTGTTAGAGTTAGAAGCTTGTCGCAAGGTATATGATGTGCTACAGAAGCTTTTGTAATATGGAACTTACATTAACACGAATTTGTGCCTGGAATATGTCATCACTGCATATGTTATTTTTGCCTAACTGCATTTAAAAGTGGAAGTTTTACTGGTCATCAGGTAGCCTGATGGCGTCTTTGGAAATAAAATCTGGTACATTGATTTCCTTACAAGACCTGCACCAGTCATCTCCATTTTTTAAGCAAGGAGCCTCTCTCAGAATAACTGGAAAGTGAGTTCCACTTTTCAAATTACAATGTATGTGTGACTTTTTTTTAATAAGATGATTCACTGTTGTAATGGTGACAAATTGACAGTGTCAAATAATTTAAGTTAATGTTAAAATTTCGTGTCTTAGTATTTTGTTGCCAATCATGGTGAGTGGAAACACTTCAGGGATTCAACCAGCATTATGTTTGTTTTTTTAAAACCATAGATCTGGTTATGCACATTTAGACGACTTCTAGTAGTGAATGTCATGTGGATACTAGTGAAACTGTTTTTGTAAGAAATGTAATGGCATACTAGCAGGGTGAGCATAGCAGCAATTGGTGCCATGGTTTATAGTGGGAACAGCAATATTGAGATTTCTGGAATGATGGCAGTTTGGGTATGGTAAATTTACTGTCCATCATATGGATGGAAGTTACGTGAGAATGCTAAACTGCCTGAAGATTTTAACCAGCTCCGTAGTAATTGCCATAACTCATGTCTTAGATCTATACATTTCAAATATTAACGATTTCAAAGCTGCTGTAAACATATGACATAGTTTGACTCATCTCCCCAAATCATGCCCTGTAGACTTGGATTGGTGTGACAAGTTTCTATATAAGAAACATATGTTCAGTATCCATTAGAAGATAACAAAATTGCCCTGCAAGTTACTTTTAATTGAATGTAGTTCGTCTGGATTTCATTTTCATCTGTTTTCATTCTCAACATTCCTACAATCTACAATAAAATACATTTTGAATATTAATTGGTAAACACACTTTCTGGTTGTGATTCACTTCTTTAAATTCTACCATTGTTGTAATTCATAGTAGTATTGTATGTTACTAATAACTATTTTGTGAGAATGCATCATCTCTGCATTCATGGATCAGTCTGTGAGTGGCATTTATAAATCTCTTTTATCTTCATGTGGCTGCATAATTGGAGAGTACTACTAACATACAAAATAGGTTTAATTGCATTTCTGGTTTTTCTTGTTTCACCAAAGTTCAGTTTTGGTCCCGCTAGTTCCTGTTGCAATAAAAGCACCTGTAGATTTTAAGTTGATGCAATTATGTTCACTTCTTAGATAGCTGTGGCTTTGCAATAAGGGTCGCATGATATGATTTTTCGGTGACGTGACAATCAGCACAAGACTGACTTGAATTTCATGACTTTGAGAGCAAGTGGGTTCAAAACTGAATTTAGTAATATACTTCCTAATAATTGAAAACAGTTCATACATGTAGAGATATTTAAATTCCTTATCTAATTGTCTATAACTGCACTACTGGTACAACATGGTGTATGATTTCATTCTGACAGAATAAATTGCTCCATTATATATCTTTTGGGGGTTGTTGTCGCCACTTGACAGTGATGACAGTGGAGTGTCAGTCAATAACTTATGTGTAGCCTTCCATAGGTTACGTGAATATTCTATAGAGGCGTGCCTAGCAACGATTATTGATGGCGATGACATTCTAAAAGTTAGTACCGAACATCTGAGGGACCTTAGCTTTCAAGTTGGCTCTGTCTACCAATTCATTGGTGAACTCCTTATCCAACCTGATAATGAGGTATGCTTAGTCAAGATTTGGTAAAAAAAGGCTCACCTCTCCGTTTCTTTGCAAACACACTTACATGCATAATGTGCTTTGTAATACACATTCACCCACAACATGGACAAGGGTCTTTAAGACGATTTGAGCATGCTACTTTTTTCTTTGTTAGGTAGTTTTGCAAGCTCGTGTTGGTAGAAACGTTGATGGGATCGATCTCAATCTTTACCATCAGTCCCTGCTGCTCTTAAGACAGTTTCAAGCCAATCATTTAAGCAATCCAGAAACTATGTAGGATTATTTGCGAGCAGAAGATGCCATGCTAATATGAAAACGCACTCTTCTCATAATATAAAAGAAGATGGAAATTTGCTCTGAAACTGTTGTATAGCAATGTTTGTTCTCACTTAGGGACACTGAATGCATATGCTTTTCTGTGTTTTCAGATAAAGACGTAGTGTCTGCACTCTACAATGTTCTTCATGTGTAAACAGAATCTTAGCAAGTTCATGATGACATTTCGTTTTATTTTTATTCTCTTTCTTTTGGCTGCAAATGGGGCATGACATGAGAGAGTTGTTAAGTATTAATTGGGCTTAGCTGTGCTTTCTTCACGGGGACAATTAGTTCTTCATGTGACGCTATGCAACAAACTTTTGGTCACCCCTGATTTTGCCATCGGAAATTGAGGCAAGGGAGAGGGAAGGGTGGTGGAATATTCAAGGAAACATGAGATATTTAGTGCATCCCATCTCTCTTTTTTATGCTGCATCACTATTCCAAAATCTCTGGCATTTGAATGTTATGGTCGTATGTTTTCCATTTGTGTGGGAAAAATAGTAGTGCCAATTATCTAGTTGGTAGGCCCCGTTACATAAATTTAGTCGTTGCGTTTGACGTTGGAAGGTTATGTTCCATGTGCTACAAAATGTGATGAAAAGGCACAACTTAAACATATCGAGTGTTTACGTTTTAATATCCACCATTCATCTGTAGTGTGGGTGTTGAATTTGCAAATTATGCAATGATTTGAAGATGAAGATGCATATCTACCATGTAATGATGGGATAGAGTTTTTATGGCCCACATATAACTCCATGTTCATTTGATTTTGAACTTTGTTGAGCACGCGCTTGCATAAATTGTACGTCCTCAAAAGCAGATCAATCTTGTTTATATAGATCCACTTGTCCTTTAAGCGTAACACTAACGTTAATGTTTGTCAAACTATGCGGAGCCTGTCTATCCATTATTTGGCGTTAATCTTTTGATGATTTGTTATAAATATTTTTAAGAAATGTAAAAAGTAAATTATTTTTTTTCAAGTAAAAATTAATTTATGCACAAATTAAAAATCTACTATAAGTTTTTTTTTAATTAGTCATTTTATGCATGAGTTATTTTTTTTTAGTTTATAAAAAAGCTATTTTTCTTTTTTCTTGTTTTATAAAGAATGTTATAGAGAAGCTCATGATTTTTAATATAGGGGGAAAATTATTGTATGTGAAAGGAGGATTATTATTATGGCTTTGGCATTAGGCAAAAGTGGGGTCTGTGCATCCACATCCACTGAGCCGAAAAAATTATGACAAATTGGATATTATTTGTTAGGGAAAAGCAGCCACAAAGGAAATTAAACAGTAACTTTAGTTTCATCTTTTACACAGTGATGTTACTTAATTGGCATATGATGGTGAATAAACGTGTAGACACCGTAAGGTAAAGTCCATGGGCGCACGCGAATGAGTTTTCTCTTATTAAATTTATGCTAAAATCGTACTCTTATCTCATATTTAAAGTTTTTATTTAACTTTTCTTTTTCTTTTTGTACAATTTCCTCTTTATCTTGTTTTTGAGGTTTTATATTGAGTTAAAAAAAGAAGAGATGATTTTGGTGAAACTTCATTCATACAGACATAATTCAATAGCTGTAAGAAGAAATCAAAAGGTAGAAACAAAGTATATTTTATACATAACTAACTAAGACATATGCATTAAAATTAAGAGTGATACTCTTTTAAACAAAAAAAAAGTTAACGTTAAAATTAGTTTGTATTTTACACATATATGACACATTTGTTAAGTCAGTATGTAACTAATATAAGTGACACATAAAAAATAAATATAATGAAATATGAAATATATATAATATTTTATTTAACCTTAATGTATGAAGCACATACCACGGGTGGGCACACACCTACCCATTAAGAAAATCGGTACAGTGATTACTCACGTGATTCCTGGCCTCTCAAATTCACGTGCCTTGCCCAAACTTTGTCATTCAAATTTAAAGAGTACTATTATATCGATATCTAAAAATAATTACAATTTTTTTATAAATACAAAAATTATTTTTTTAATGATTAAAATCCTTCTAAAAGTGTATTCCCAAATTGTGCATCTTGTGTTAAAAGAATTTTTTTTAAATTTAAATCCTTTTTCTTCGCTTCTATTTTCAATTAAGAAAGTTAACGTTTTATTCTAAAAATAAAGAGTAGAAAGTTTAATCCAACTTAATTTCTATTATTGTTAGTGTTAGTCTTTTTTATATTATCTTTCAATTTAAAGCTATAATTTAAGTTTCTATACATTATAGTTAGAAGTTCTCAACACCTAAGCAAAATTTATGACTAAAACAGTTGTGGCCATAGCTATGCTTTGTGGAACTTACTACCTGAAGACAAAATTCTCTGTTTTATTTTTATATTAAGATTTTCTTACACAACGAAATCAAAAATAGATTGGGATGAAAGATGAAGAAAATATATTTCTAAAGAAATATGATCCATTTCTCAAAGTAATAAATTATGAAAGAAAACTAAAGAGGTATCATGGATAAAATTCTGCAAATAAAAATCATGCTCAATAAAAAAAATTAGTTTTTTTTTATCGTAAAGGAAGTCACAAAGTAGTTAAAAAGTTAATTAGTGTAGGAAGCTGTGAGCAGATCATAAACATTTTATTATATCCTAACATAAATATAGATGTTTCTGCAATTTTGTATATATATAAATATATATATATATATATATATATATATATATATTTATATATATCTTTAATCTTTTGTGACTTTACTGTCATATAAAAAATAAAATAATTCAATATATTATTTATCGTAATAAAAGTTTAATTATATAAAATGGAATATTTTAAACATTTATAATTTAATGATGTCTATGTTTTGAATAGTCTAAGAAGATAAAGTCCTAGTCTTATAAAAAAATTCTAAAATTTTTTAATACTAATATCTCTTTATTAAATTAATTATAAAATTATGGTTGAGAATAAAAATTAATTAAATTATTTATGGTTGAGAATAAATTATTTTATTAGTAAAAAGTTTTTGTTTGATTTAGGTATTCTAAATTTATGATATATTTTAAACATATCATATTTAAGTTTGTTTTAAGTTTTTCAAACCCTGAGTAGTATCTGATTATAAGTGTTTTTTTTTTGTCTAATTAGTGATAGTTACTTATTTTTTAATTAGTATCTTTGCTAATTGTGTATTGTAACTTAAAACCAAGAGTAAAATAAACAAATAATTTATTGATAAAATAGGAGAAAACTAGTTATATATCAAGATTCACCTAATAGTAAAAAAGGAATGAAGGGAAGAGAAGATAAGATGGTGGATAAAAAATACTTGTAATCATATTTTCTTCGTTAAAATATTTTTATTTTCACTGAAAACACATAATGATGATATTTTTGAATGGATATTAAGGTTCTTATATTTCATAAAAAAAATCGATATTAAAATATTTAATTAGAATTTAAATTTAAGACTACTAATTAAATTAAAATAATGTCTACAATAATTATAATATTTCATAAAAAAGTGAATATTTAATATAGTTAATTATGACATCAGTTTCCTTTTTTCAGTTTATATACTAATTTTACCTAATTGAACACGTCTTTCTTGGTATCTTACAATGGTTTAAGTGCATATTCCAATTATTACACTAACCCATCGGATTAAATTAAACTAGGATAAGTAATATACCTATTAAGCAAAACAAAATCATAATAATTAAGTAAAGAATCTAGATATGCTTTTAAACTGAATTGTAAAAATTAATCTGAGAGTTAAAAGATGGGAATTTCCCTTTCCCTTTTAAGAAGTGACTTGGTTCATTGGAATTGGGTGGACTTTTTAGTCATAGTTGAGTTAGGTCATTTTTATTTTTAACTGCAAATTGCATAACATTACTGGAAAATTCTGACATGCCAAATCCTCAAAGAACTTGTCGTGTGCTTCAGAAATTCAACCTGCTCCTATTGTTTTGGTTTAATCTGATAGTGTTTGGAAGTTTAGGTTTGTCTTTTTGTTACCTACAGCACACCATAGCAGCCTAATGGAATGAAGGTGAGAAGCATCATCCATTGATTTGTACTGCACCAGGAATCACAATAGCCATGTGTAGTAAGCAGTAACTAGGTTAGGAAAAATAAAAAGGTTGTACTGTTATGTGCTGTCCAGCATTAAAGTTAAAGTGAATTCAAGAGACAAAGTGGTAGTAGATGTAGTCATCCAGGCTAGGGAATCACACTATCAAAACCATTTTTTACTGTCAAACCACAAATATACAACCAGATGCACTGCTCCTACCCATTTTTTAAAAGGTATTTTAACATTTTTTTTTTACTTTTGATACAATACATATCTTAATTTTCTATTTATTTATTATTTATTTGTTGAAATATTGACATATTTTGAATAGGTAGGTGGGACACGAATAACATCTACCTTTTATATGATCTATAAAAAAACATTTACTTGTTATCTGTTTACTATCGGTTTGAATAATTATTTAAAAAATATTTGCAGATATTTTAAAATTTATAAGTATACTATACACTTATAAATATTTAAAAAAATATATTTTATAAATTTTACAATAAAATTTTAAAAAAATTATTAAAAATATAATATAAATTAAATTAACTATAAATTTAATTCAATAAAATATAAATTAAATTAATTTTAATTAAATTAAATCTAATAAAATATAAATTAAATTTTTATTTTTAATGGATAACCAATATTTATAGATACAAGTAATATAATCCAAGTACTCAATCTATTTATAACCAAATATTAAAATACTAACTATTTGCTATTCACATATAATAAATACTATCCATCACATATTTTATTCGCAAATATGTACCTACACTAATATTTCGTCATCTTTAATATATAACTGCTAAGATGGAGTTGGATTTCCAACTGAAGCAAAAGGTAGCTTTTAGTATATTTAAGGAAAGACTGCTAACTTTTGCTGTCTTACTGTGCCTTTTCAAAAGAGCTCTCTCACACACACACTTTCACCAGTTCCTTTTTCTTTAGTTCATAATCTAATTCATTGTTTCACGCCAACACCCAAAAATAGTAGACTCTCATGCTCTTATTTCAAATACATGACTTAATGAAGATGAATAACTTTTTACACTAACAAAATATATTTGGAATTAAATATACTTTTTATTTTTAAACTATTATAAAAAATTACGTGTCATTT